AAGCTGCAGGTCTGGATCAAGGTTTACAGGAGGGGGTCCCAACCTCAGTCTCCTCAGATAACACGAAGACACGTGGAGGGCTGTGCTGTGAGTGGGGGTGCCCGTGTCTGAGCTGCAGATGTGTGACAGTTCTGACAGCTCTTCCCTGAGGAAAAACCCCTCACACACCTAATGGTTTTTATAGCACTCCGAATTAGCTTATGTAACAGCCATCATGCACGCTCCACTGGAGAGCCCCCGGCTTTTGACATTTCTTTTGTTTATTTCCACTATTCTGGTTAACCCACAACCTCACATAAATGAATTTTTAGAGTTAGTCTCTTACAGACTCCAGGCATAACAAGAGGAGTTGGTCCTCAGGGCAAAGTACTAAATCAAGTGAGGGAAACAGCAAGATCTATTGCCATATCTACCGTGAATTTGGAGCATCCCAAATTAGTGAACGCTGCTGATATCCTGCTGTCCTTGTTAAAGTGATAATGTCAATTTAAGCTGTGCCCATCCACCTGGCCACTCATCTTTCCATTGTGCCCAAGGGGAAAGATCCCCAGATTCACAGGCAATGCTCAAGGCACAGCTTTCAGCTGCTCTCTTTTCCCCAGCTATGAAATGGGAACATCAATAACTATTAAAGGCAAAATTCAAGGATTGACCAGGGAAAACCAAAATAAGACAAGAACTATCTGTGGCTATCTTGTTGATATTGTAATGTCAGACTATAATCTCTCCACTTTTATTAATCCCAGGTACCAGCTCCTGCAGAGACCTCCTGGGTGCCCTGGGCAGCATGGCAGTGCAGTGATATTGTGGTCAATGGGGTCCTAGAGCTTGTGCCCTGAGCAGAAGGCCACAGGCTCACACCACAACCAGCATCTTTGAATCACCTCACTCCTCCTGCATCTCCAGCCCACACTGGTCCACCCGCTGTGGCTTCTGGTCCATCTACCACCATTATAAAGGGTGAACAAGGGGCTTGAGCTGGTGCAAACAATGTCTGGGATGGGAGTGTCTCTGCTTTATACCCAAGTATTTAGACAATACAAGACAAACTGTCCCAGCGAAGGTTTCATGACATCAGCCAGTGCCCCTTTCTAACATAACCCAGATAACTGGCCTTGAGCTTCGTGCCTCTCCAAAATTACGCCCTACCCTTCCAAAAAGCACTGAGACAAGTTGTGGTTGATCCTCAGCCAGCTGCTGATGATGCAGAAGTGGGGCTGCTGGTGCTCTTGCTTTTTGGATGGAAAAGCCAAGCCTGCCCTGGACCGCAGCTGGTCCTGGCAGCCTGCCCCTGCTCTGCTCCGGCCGGCTCCAGGCAGCCACACAGCCAGACAAAGGCTGAAACAGGAAAGCTGAGGCACCTGCTCCCCTCCCACCCCTTTGGGACCTCTCGTGAACAAAGCACCTGACCCACAGACAGCACTGGTGCAGGAGCAGCGCTGCTAAAACACGACTGGGAGGCATCGTCCTCCCTGCGATCACCTACACAGAAAAAAATATGCTGGTTTAGCCAAATTAGTAAACTCTACCTTTTAAATGGACCCTCTCCTGTGTTATCCCTGCCAGGGAAGTTCCTTCCTCTTAGCAAAAAATGAATTGTAGGCTGGAAACAAATCAAAGTACAGAGCACAGCTGGCTGCCCGAGAGGAACACGATGCTGATTTCTTCCACTCCAGCTGCTCTGGGCTGTTTTCTGGCTGAGTGGGGAACACACCACTGCTCCGGATGGCAAGTGTCAGCAAATACTTCTCTCCTTCAAATTCATCAAGTACAGCTGAAGGAAACCGAAGCGGGAGTAACTTCCCTGACACACCATTCTTAACTTGTGTGGTTAACACGCTGGAGGGATGGGATGCCATCCAGAGGGATGTGGACAGGATGGAGAGGTGGGCTCATGTGAACCTCACAAAGTTCAGTGGGGCCAAGGGCAACATCCTGCACCTGGGTCAGGGCAATCCCAAGCACAAATACAGGCTGGGCAGAGAATGGATCACGACTGTCCCTGGGGAGAAAGGACTTGGGGATGTTGGTGGACAAGAAGCTCAACGTGAGCCAGCAATGTGCGCAGTCAGGCAAAAAAGCCAACCCTGTCCTGGGCTACAGGACAACAATTGTGACCAGCAAGTCAAGGGAGGGGATTCTGTCCCTCTGTTCAACTCTCCTGAGACCCCACTTGCAGTGCTGTCTCCAGCTCTGGGGCCCTCAACACAAGAAGAATGTGAAGCTACTGGAGCAAGTCCAGAGGTGGTCATGGAAACGCTCCAAGGGCTGGAGCCCCTCTGCTCTGGAGACAGGCTGGGAGAGCCGGGGTTGTTCAGCCTGGAGAAGAGAAGGCTCCGAGGAGACCTGAGAACCCCTTCCAGTGCCTAAAGGGGCTCCAAGAGAGCTGGAGAGGGACTTCTGAATCCCACCTCACTGGCTTACCTGGGACTATGCACCAGGCTCGTACAAAACAAAAACCACAGCTCCAAAGCCCTGGAATTGTTGCTCACTGAGCACTTTTGGATGCCAATGCCATATAACCGCTTTCAAATGGACAAGAAAGTTTGAGTCACAGAATGAGGTTTCCAAGAGAGGCCAACATTAATTCTCCAGGTTCCTGCCCTTACTATGTGCCCCAAGGCAATACATGGATGTAGCTACCTAGATCCCGAGAGCTGGTGGCTATGGAATGCACGTCATCCTTTTCTTTGTTTAGGGTGGCAAAGAGCCCAAAGCAACCAAGACCCCTCTGCAACGCTTCACTTGCAACCACTGCTCTGTCATCCCAACCCCAATTTATCTTTTACAGGAATAAAAGCTTCTGGGTGCAAGGCCAGATGTGCAGAGGGGAAAATCTGGACCTGAAACAAGGGGAAATTGAACTGCAGTTATATGGAGTCATAAATATTTACTGCAATGTAAACCGAAGGACTGAACTGCTCATTTGATTTTTAACTTGAAAAAAAAAAAGATTAAAATTTACAAGGTCTCTCACCAGAAAAGGGGAAAAGTATATAATTAGAGTCTAAAGAAAACAAGCTTGAACAAATGTGCTGTGCCTGTCAATTTAGATTCTCTACACCCCGGTTCCCTTTGGAGCTGCACCAATTCCCCCTTCTGTCCTCAGACGTATGTATATGGAAACACACAGTGCCAGGGCTGAGACAGCAGCTTTGTTTTTGCATATGCAGAAGATAAACACACACTACAGCTCAAAACTACCAGCTCTGCGCTGGTGGCCGACTTCTGAAGCGTCAGCTTTAAAATGCAGCTCAGTTCTTCTGCCCTGACCTCTTGCTGCCATGGAGCTTTAGCACTCACACAACACCGTGACTCCCCAATAATTATCACCCAGTGCATTTTTCCTGCCACTTGACACCAGTTTGGGGTGCTCTGACCACAGTTACATCCTCCCAGTGACACATCACAACACGAGGGTTGGAGGTGGTGACGGTGCATGGCTGTGGAGCTTCAGATGCAAAGCAGGAGAGTGTCACAGTGTGCCATGTCCCCTGTCACCCTCACCTGTGCCACAGCATAAATACCTGTCCCTGTGCCAGTCACTAGCATTAGATGGGGGCAATGCAGGCAGTGACACAGCTCCCAGGGCATTTAAGTGCACACTTAACCAGACATCCATGACTAATTCCCATTCCACATGTGCTGATGCCTGAATCCAGCAAAGCACTCCAGGAAGGCATCCCGAGGGTGGCTTTCTGCTCCCACCCACGCCGAGGGAAAAGCTGAAAACAACTGTTTTGATAAGTACATCTGGGAGCTGAGACAGGATATGAGGGCTGAGAAGATGAATTGAAAAAGCAAATCGAGCCCAGAGGGAGAAACTGCGTGACAGAGAGACCAACGGGGTGGGAGCAGATAAACCCTGAACCAAGTGTGGCCAGAGCAGGGTTACAAGCAGGCAAGGAGGGTTGTTGGGGGGACAGGCAACAACCAGCAGAGACAACTGCCAGCATCCTGGAGAAAATGATGAGACAAGGGGAGGTCACACGGGTTGCAACTAGATGGTCTTTAAGGTCCTTTCCAACCCAAACCATTCTAGGATTCTATGATCTCAGAGAAGAAAACACGTGGGAAGATTTCAATGTCAACAAAGCACCTGCTAATAAAGAACAACGTCTGTGATGTACAAAGCACCTCAATATGGGTTATATGTTTCCCACAGGGCTTTGAACTGAGGAGCAGCACAGGCTCATTGGAGGGCTAACACAGCCAGCAAAATGTGCTACCAGAAACAAAAGCCCAGGAGTGGGCTGTCTCAGCTTCCCTCTGAGTATTTTAGAGGAGAACAGTGACATTTTCTACTTGCAGGGTCAGGCCAATGCAGACAACCACCAGGGACGTGTCTCTGTCCCTGGGCAGCCCCAAGTCCCACACAAACAAGCAGAGCACACGGCCTCGGGTACTCACAAGCACCAAGAAATCTGCTACTGTTTTCCTCAGGCTGGAAAACACCTTTTTCAAGAAAAACAAACCCTCCCACCTGCTCCCTTCTGAACCAGAAACAGCTTCCAGAACATTAAGCTGTAATTAGGACTGTAAATTTAGTCACAAGCACTTATAATCCATAAATCTCCACATCCAATAAAATATAATAGCTAAGGAGAGTCCAAAAGACCTACTAATGACTAAAGCTGCCTTTCAACCTCAGGTCACTCCTGCTTGCTGTTGCCCTGTGTTAGACCCCTTGAATTGAAGTGGGGCTTGCTAATTATTGTCTCTGGAGCTGTTATGAAGTAGGGAATTAATAATTTGTTTTATATTGTTCTCCCTTTTCATAGTTTGGGGGGGCTTTTTAAAAAGACATATTTTACTTGTACTCTTTTCTTTCTCCAGCACAGAGAGCTCTTCATTTATCATCAGCCAGCTTTGCCTCTCAAACCATGACAGGAGGCTGAAGATGTGATTTCTGAGTGTTATCCACCTGCATTCACTCAATTATTTAAACGCTTTTTTAATTTAACGAGGAAGTTTCAAAGAGAGAAATTCACACAACTTACTTGGACTCGTCTGGTCGCTGAGCCTCCGAAGTCTCCCGCTGGAGGTCCGGCTGATTCCTAAAGCAAGAAGAAGGTTTGAATAGGGAGTTTATGTGAATATGGTACACGAATCTACCTCCCTGCTATGACTCCACATCTGGAAAGGCATATTTTCTTTTAGGAATCTGCCCTGCACAACCACCTCTGTGATCCAAGGAGTGTTATGTGTTATTTTAAACAGAAAAAACACCTGAGGAGAGACCTCCACCTTTCCCTGAAGATGTCAAACATTATTATTCAAACGCAGCAAACCCACAAATGTATTCAGGGTTTCCAGAAACACCAGAGGGAACTTTTGAAATCGTTAAGTGGGACACACACATTCACCTCTTGCTCCAGGATATTTTATCCTAGAGACAAGTGCAGCACTTCCAGAGACAGGCTTCCTTGAAGGGAGAGGAAAGTAGAGCAATTTAAGGACATGCACTGGCAGAGACTACTCACTAGATTGCACCCAGCATCCTGAGAACATATTGTTTATGAGAACCCTGTCATGGGGTCAGACCAGCTGGAACACGAGATGCACCTCCATTCCCATACCCATTTCAGAAAGTCATCAGAAACTCCCAAGTGCCTCCCAGACTCCAGACAAGCCACAGGGACCTGCTGACTACAACAACATTTCTAGTCCATCAGCAACATTAAACATAATTTCTCTGCTGCCCCAGCTACCTGTTTGTAAAAATGGTGATTGACAGCCCACTTGCTTCCCAGGTGGGCTGAAAAAACTCATCAAGAACCAGAATTCCCCTTGAAGCTGAAACTGTACATTGATCAGTGCCTCAGTTTCTCCTTTTCTTACCACAATAAAAGCAGTGAACCACCTCAGGTGGGATGATATATCCTGAAATCACCCCAAATGCTATGATGTCCTGGTATGGGGATTCTCAGAAAGTCTGACAGCTGCCCAGTCTCTGGTGGGTCCTGCTGCAGGAACAACAGCTCCAGGATGGTATCTGTCATCTCAGACACCAGATGCTGGAGCTGTCAAGCCACAGAAGCTCCTCAGCTCATTACAAACCCTCCTTCAGCACATAAAAATATTGAATCAGGATTTCCACCCTGCAAAGAGGTAAAAAACTCCCAGGATTTTGGGATGATGTTGCTGTTCAATTATATTACTTAAACGACCTTCTCACCATCTACCAGATCTGTTGGAGAATAAGCAAAGGGCTTAGAACAACACCAGTTTAAGCTGCAGAATAACCCCAAACTGTGATTTGTAACATAGTCACAACCTTACAAACCTTGTCAGCTGGAAGACTGCACCATATAGGATAAAAATTTGTTAAGAATAAATACACAGAGAAAAAAGGCAGGAAAACTTTCAAACCAGTAGGCCCTGGGAGGGAGGCAGGGAAGGAAAAAGGGCTGCCTGGCAACTTGACGTGGAAAAAGCATCTCATGCTCAGAACCCTCTGCTTATATATATATGTATTTGTGTGTGTTTGCTCTTCCCTTTCCTTTTCTAATATAAAAAGCCTCTGTGCCTGCAACATTATGTGGCTGAACCACAGGGCTGGTCCTGGGAAACAGCACCGCAGAGAGAACCCATGGCCAGCACCACCCAGAGCCACCTCCTCACTTGGCTCTGCCCCCCAAAGAGCCAAAAATAGAGCCAGGACTGTCCACCCACATCCGTGAACACCCAGTTTGCCTTCTATGAGAGCTTTACCTGCATTGCAGCAGGACAGACTGCTGCTGCACCCAGTCTGTAATTCCCTGACTGACAGAGAGAGAAGGGTTGAAGTTTATAGGAACTTGTGCATTACAACCAGCATTACAAATTTTAAACATATTTTTTCCATTAAACCCAGTCTCCGAATGTTTTTCTTAATTATTTCCTCCTCTGTAAATGTCTACTGCTTTTTTGGACACTAGCAGGAACGAGAAGGCACATTATTTCCTCTGCCCAACAGATTTCTAAATGGCACTTCTTGAGACAGGCTGCAAGAGCAGCCTCGTCCTGGCTCAGCTCCACACGGAGAGCAAACACCTCTGTGTTGCCTGTGTGCAGACAAGGTGCAGTGTTGAAATCTGGCTTTTAGGACTGCTCAAAAACCAGAGAAAAATCGTCCCTTATGGGACGCAGATCCGCGGCCACGTTGAGCTGGTTAAACACAGCCCTTTAGGTTCAAAGACTTCATTCAGTCTGCGGCAAAGCAGGACGGAAGCTGAACCAGGAGCTTACAAGCTTGGACAGGACTGCACATAGGAAATGGGCTTTATTCCCTTTAGCAACGACTCCAGTGGAAAAACACACAGAGGACTTGGAGCATCCAACACAGCACAGCCATCAGAGCATCCATGCCCTGGCTGAGCCTGTGGCTTTTATGCAAACATTTCTGAGAATTTGTTTATATGCCCTGTCTCACAGGTTTTCTCTGGGGCCCTGGAATTACTATTCACACCCTTTTTAAATGGGTAGACAAGCTCAGTTGATTTGCTGTGTGTCGGAGGCAGCATTAGAAGGAAGTTTTTCTGACAGCTTTTTCTCCGCTGCCTGTTAACAACATTAATAATACATGATAATGCTGTTAATTCCCTTTCAGACAAAGAGAAAATAAGGAGCAAACACAAAATTCATCCAGGCTGCCTAATACCTTAACAGAGAGTCTGGGAAAAGGGAATGCTACAGAGTCCAAGCCAAGCTTGCTATCTGTGATGTCCCACTGCCCTTCCACCAAGGGAAGATCCAGATACAGTCCTGGAAAGCAGACAAACAGCAGGGAAAGCTGGCAGCCTGGCAAGGCAAGAAGAGAAGATCTGTCAAAAAATAAAATAAGTAATGAGAAAGCAACAGCTAAAAATATGCTGCTGTGAACACAGTGCCAGGAAGCCGGTGGAGTGGGCAGAACCAGAGAGCATCGGCGTGCTGAGCGTGTTCTGGGGTTACCTCTATTTATAGCCTGGAAGCAGGAGGCTGAGCCCCACATTTGAGCTGCAGGGCTGTGAAACAAAAATCAAAGGTTTCCACCCCAGACACAGTGTCTATGAGCCTTCCCTCTTAACGCTGTTCAAATGCCCTCAAGCCACGCTATAAATTTATTGTAGCGCGCTGGACGAAGAAACATAACGCATTATGCTTTATTTAGCTGAAATTAGGAATTCTCTTCCCCTTGTTCCCAGCAGAACGACTTGAAAACAGAAGAGTCCGACAGTTAAAGTCAGTCAGTCCAAGAAGGGCTCATTCAACCCAGCGGATGTGCCTCAGCAGGACAAAGTTCTGACGCTCGCCCAGCTCAGCCTCACCTTGGCTCGCTCCCTGAGCAATATTTTTTCATGTTTTATAATCAATGACTAATTTCCTCCAGATCCACAGGCTGGGACCACGTGGCACAGCAGAAAGGCAGCAGTACTCAAGGACACTGGGCTTCACTGGGATCTCCTTTGCAACTGCCAAAGTCAAGAGTTGTTCCGTGCCACGGCAGCGCAAGCAAAATCCCAGCCAGGCTCACGTTTAAATCACTCCCTCCAGACAATATTGGGACAAATGTTCTACTCTGTTGTGCTTCTTGCAGCTGTTGATATAAGACATGATGGATGTAAGTCATCCCAGTATTGAAACAGAAGCATCTTCTAGATGTTTACCTGGATGCAGACATGGTTCAGAGCAACAGGGGGAATGAATGCAGCCTCTTTAGAGAAACTGTCCATGCTACAGAGTGACTTTTCTAGCTGACTTGGCTGAATCTAAAGCCAACTAGGGAACTGCCAGACATGTTCACCTCAGTCAACATGTACATTCCCCAAAACAGTTTTTGCATGATACATCCCAAACCTTATGGATGCATTTAACAGTAATGAGACAGACCACTTGGGACTGATTCTCTCCTCACAGTAAGTGATCCATGCTGCCACACTCACATGATGTAAAATTCAAGAGAACAAATGAGCAATTCCCATTATCAACAGAAACCATGGTGTGAGGACAAACAATGGAGGATGCAACTCAGGAACTCACTCTCTCTACACAGTCCAGTAAAAACAAAAAGCAAGCAAACAAGAGAACCCAAATCAAACAAAGGTGGTGATAGAAAGGGATGGGCCAAACCCAGCAGGAGCCATCCCACACTGTGCTGGAGTCAGCAAAGCGGCACCAGCTCATCTGAGCAGCCAGTATGACCCTTGCTTCTGTTACATGTATTTACTAACAGGTCTGAGATGGATAATTCAGCTTCCTTCTTCACCCAGCACAACACAGCAGGGTGTCCAGACAGCACTGCAGACATCTCCATCCAAGATTGGTTTCCACACTCCTGACTCCCCAGAGCTCTTTCCTGGGGTGTACAGCTATGGATCATGTCACAGAGCTATCTCTGGACTTCACCTTTGGCACTTCTCAGTAGAACAACCCTTCAGACGTGTCTACAGCCCCTACACAACACCAGCAGCTTTTAAAGCAAAGGCTGACAGAATTGGCTCCCTCCAGGGCAGGAGCAGCAGCCCATGAACTGCACACAGCCAGCCCTGACTCCTATACCCTATCCTGCCCTTTGCCATCTCCTCAGGCCATCCTGCTGTCAGCTAGGCAGGATATAAAGGACAGCAAGGATGTCACTTTGCCCTGCACAGGAACCAGTGCCGACTGTTGGGACAGGGTTTTCCACTCCCTGTTAGGATGTGTAACATCTATCACAACACCTTTAGGGTGTGAAATGTCTCACTGTATCCACTTCACAGGTACTATCCAGACAGGGGGCAGGAGAATTGCCTTCATTGACAGCTGTATTTCATCCCTCTTCATCCAAGCAAGCTCTAAAAGCTCCTAAAATAAATTGGCTGGAGAAGATCTCATCAGTAACATGGCCTGGAGCTGCTAACAGGAGGAAGACCCACACAGGGTTTGATCCACGCAGCACAACAACCATGTCTGTGGCTTCTCCAACACTCCAGACCAGCTGCTGGAGCCTGAGCTGCTGACACAGGACATCCTGGCACATGGAGCTGTGGTGTCACTGGAAACAGCTGGGGACAGAGTGGCTCGGGGAAGCTGAGGACCACAAGGGAGGGACATC